ACCCCCAGAGTAGGAATGAATTTGTATTAGCGAAGTTTCCAAATTACACACCACTGCGAAGGGTTTGGTTTAATCAAATCATGGTGAGAGAGATACTGTACCCAATTATCTTGCAAGGTAAAATTAGGGCTTTTTACTCTAACCTGTTCTTTACAATAATTACAGAGGAATTACAGAGTAAAGAAGAGAACCCATGTGAACAGAAGTTTTTTTTTTTTTATCTTTTGTCAAACTCAAACAAAAGAAATTAGAAAGTCTCTGGTCTTTGTCTACTCCAGCGTTGACCTATTCATTAACATAGAGATACAAGTTGTTTAAAGACACTAAAAAAGAAAAAAGAAAAAAGAAAAAAAGAAAAAAAGCAAGTTGGCTTCTGTTGATTAGTGTCTAGTAGTTGTTTTAGATAATGATTTATACGTTGTGACTTGTGAGCACAACAAAATGATATACACCGGAGAAGTTGACATTGTTTTAGAAGAAGTTGACTTGGACAAAAACAAAAACAAAAAAAAAAACTCTTATGCTCTTTTGCTTAAGGCAAGTGTTTCTCAGAAATGGATAAACTAGTACTTGCATTTCAAGAGATGATGGCTCTCTGAAGAACAGAGATGATGGCATCCAAGGCGCTTACGTTCCTTTACTGTGTGGTTCTCATCAATCTTGCTAATTCCCAGGATCAAACAGGTCTGAAAATTCAAATCTTTTCTAAGTCAAACAAATCTTTGATTATGTTGGAAAGTTAGTTAAAGCTGGTTTTCAACATCTGAATCAGGATTCATTAGCATAGATTGTGGGTTAGAACCGGAAAACTCAAGCTACACGGAAACTTCGACGGGTATAAAGTATGTTTCGGATTCGAGTTACACAGAGACAGGAACAACCAAATCCTTGGCGCCTGAGAATAGACAAAACATGATACAGAGCATGTTGTCTGTTAGAAGTTTTCCAGAGGGAATAAGAAACTGTTACACAGTTGCAGTTAACGACAGCACCAAGTATTTGATCCGAGCGGTTTTCATGTATGGAAACTACGATTCAAGAAACGAGGTTCCCGAGTTCGATCTTCACTTGGGTCCAAACAAATGGGACACTGTTAAACTGGAGTCTCCTCTGCAAACAGTGACCAAAGAGATCATACATCAAGTGTTGGAAGATACATTGCAAGTGTGTTTAGTGAATACAGGAAACGGTATGCCTTTTATATCGGTGTTGGAACTTAGACCGTTGTTGAATTCATCTTATGTTGCTCAATCTGGATCACTCCAGCTCTTTCAACGGTTGGATTTCGGGTCATCAAGAAACGTAACGGTTAGGTATCCAGATGATGTTTTTGATCGGATATGGTTTCCTTTCACACCAATTGGGTCTAAAGAGTTAAGTGATCCGTCTACTTCCCTCTCACGCAACAGTAGCGGTAACTTCCGTGTTCCGCAAGTTGTAATGAGAACTGCGATTATACCGGAAAGAGCAGGCGGGTCTGTAGACTTTCGATGGATTGCAGATGATCCTTCTCTTGAGTTTTACTTTTACATGTATTTCATGGAAATTCAAGAACCGAGTTCGAATTCCGAAGAAAGAAGAGAATTCATGGTTTTGTTGAACGGAAGGACTATTACGCAGCCGCTTAGTCTTGATTACTTGCAGACCTTAGTCCTTCTCAGTTCAAAGCCTTTGACAGAAGAGAGCTACGAGTTTTCTATTCGTCAGACTCGGAATTCAACTCTTCCACCTCTTATCAACGCTATAGAGACTTACTTTGTAAACAAACTTCCACAATCTTCAACAGATCAAAACGACCGTAAGCTCTGTAACCATTTCAAGTCTGCATTTTCTTGTTCCAATCTTACTATTTTTCTCTTTGAACATTTTTTAGTTTCCGCTATGAGGAATATAAAGTCTGTCTATAAAGTCAAGAGAAACTGGGAAGGAGACGCTTGTGTGCCTCAAGCTTACACATGGGAAGGTGTGAATTGTAGCTACAATGGTACAAGCATGCCTCGAGTAATATCTTTGTAAGTGTAATATAAGAAGTTCCCTTTCTTCTCACTCTTTATGTTAACCAAAGTGACCGGAGTTGCTCTATGCAAACAGAAACTTATCATCGGCCGGATTGACAGGAGATATAGCGTCTGATATATCTCGTCTTTCACAGTTGCAAATCCTGTAAGTTTTTGTTCTCTTGTTGGTAATATCTGTTTACAAATAGTAGAAGTCGCTAAATAACGTGTTTACATTCAGGGACTTGTCGAACAACAATCTGACTGGATCAGTACCGGCTTTCTTAGCTCAACTTCAATTCCTGAGAGTACTGTGTGTATTTTCTCAACCACACCTACCAGTAAAAGAACTCTTACCATCTGATATATATAGTAAATGACTTTTATCAACTGTGCATTTTGCAGAAACTTGGCAAATAACCAGCTTAGTGGTCCAATACCGTCTATTCTCATGGAGAAAACAGAGAACGGCATGTCGTTCAGGTACTCAAAAACACTTCTCTTTATATATTCATTACGTGTTTTCATAACACACTGTATGTCTATATGCAGTATCAACGGGAATCCAAGTATTTGTCTTGAAAATGCTTGTGAAGAGGTCACACAAAAGAGCTCCAAGAAGACAAAACTTCCCGGCTTTGTCATTCCTTTAGTTGCATCCCTTTCAGGGCTCATTTTCATTGTTACTATATCTGTAACTATACTAATTATCCTCATGAGGAAGAAAAAGCGAGGCACCATTAACAGGACGATTACAAGTTCGAGTAATGGACCATCATTACAGAGGAGAGATACTGGTTCAATGCGTCCGTCTCTGCAGCGAAGAGAAACCACACGTCAATCTTTTCAGAGAATAGAAAGTGGAATGACGGATTACGAAGTGAATGAAACAGCTCCTGTTGATGCGTTTGATTTGGAGCTAGCAAATAGGAAATACACGTACGCAGAGATTGTGAATATCACAAATGGGTTCGAGAGAGATCAAGGCAAGGTAGGGTTGGAAGAAACTACCTAGGTCTGTTAGGTGGTAAAGAAGTGACTGTCAAGCTTGTCTCTTCGTTGTCTTCTCAAGGCTACAAACAACTCAAAGCAGAGGTATCATAATATGACAAATCCCTGTAAACAATAATTTGTGAAAAGGTGACTTAGAAGAGCTAATGTGAATATAATGCTGATTGTAGGTCAAACACCTTTTCAGAATTCATCATAGAAATCTTATAACCATGCTTGGTTATTGCAATGAAGGCGATAAACTGGCCGTTATCTACGAGTACATGGCAAACGGAAACTTAAAACAGCATATCTCAGGTTCTGCAACCAAAAATTTTTTGTTTTACCTCTACTGAATTCACACTCACAAAATGCTTTATATTCTTCTTAAGGTAAAACCAATACTCGGTTTTTAACCTCTTCTTGTGCAGAGAACAGTTCAACTGTCTTTAGCTGGGAAGATAGACTTGGAATCGCTGTTGATGTCGCACAAGGTATAATCATTGGAGATCCACTCTTGTTTTTTTCTGAAACTGTCTCTCTCTCTCGCTTTCTTGGAGTTCTTGAAATTCCCCTGTTTCTTGTTAGGACTTGAGTATTTGCATACTGGCTGCACGCCACCGATCATTCATAGAAACGTCAAGTGCACAAATATATTCTTAGATGGTAAATTCAATGCCAAGTTAGGCGGTTTTGGCCTTTCGAGAGCGTTTGATGCAGCAGAGGGAAGTCATTTGAATACAGCCATAGCCGGGACTCCTGGTTATGTTGACCCAGAGTAAGCTAAAATCTCGAATCTTTCCTAAAAAATTTGGAGAAAAAAATGTTCTTCCTTTTTTCGATCTTTTCATATAAAGATCTGATCTTTCATTGCAGGTATTACACATCAAACATCTTAACAGAGAAGAGTGATGTGTACAGTTTCGGTGTAGTTCTATTAGAGATTGTTACTGCAAAACCAGCGATCATAAAGAATGAGGAAAGGATGCATATAAGTCAATGGGTTGAGTCTTTGCTCTCTAGAGAAAACATCGTAGAGATTCTTGACCCTAGCCTTTGCGGTGACTATGATCCAAACTCTGCTTTTAAGACCGTGGAAATCGCTGTGGCTTGCGTTTGTCGAAACTCTGGTGATAGACCAGCGATGAGTCAAGTTGTGACGGCTCTTAAGGAGAGTTTGGCTGTAGAAGTTGAGAGGAAAAGGCATTTGCCGGTTGTATCAACAGATTCAGTTGAAGATCTTGCACTTGGCTTTGGTTCCAATCCACCTCCTCGTTTGAGATGATTATTTATTGACTTTGGTTTTGTAATATTTGATCTCTGTAAAAAAAGAAAAATTGGTATGTATGTTTGGTTTTTTTTTTGTGATTTGAATAAGAAACCAAAAGAATCTTTGTTCAGACAGATTTGAGGATTTTAACTGGAGTGCGTTTAGTGTCGATGAGCAAGTAAAGCGTAGGGCACAAGTCTTGCAACGACTTTACTTGTATCTAAGCAACTTCCAGTTTCGCCTCCTCCTCTGTTAGATAATCACTTAGTACTTATTTATTTTGTTGCAAGTTTGTAAGAACCACAAGCAACACATCCATGGTGGTTAGTTCCTGTAATGTCTTCCTTCTGTGTCCAATTTAGGACAGCTTGCAGGTCCCTGTTTCTCTCTTCGATTTGGTCAGGCACAAAAACGGTCTGATTCGAGCAATAAGAGTTCCTGCTCAGTATCCAATGACAGTGAGTTATATCAGCAACTAGAGACTATAGAATTAGTTAAATGTTATGTAATCTATTTAAGTATTTACTAATTCATGTGAAGGTCTAAATCAATACTTTCAACTAGATGACACTGTGTTAATAAAAGGAATACATTCATATCTACAAACTTCCAGTTTTTATAGTTTTGATCCCTCTAGCTACAGTCACTTACCCTTGACACCATGTAGGATACAAGGAAAATGCCAAAACAGCAATTTCTTTAGAAGAAAATATCTGCTCCTAAGGATTGAAAAGAAGTCAATTATCTTTATTCAATCATCTGTCAAGTCAAAACCATGATTAATGATCAGTTCTGTCAATGATCATACTCGAAACCCAAGCTCTTATCAAAGTAAGAAAAAAACAAAAAAAAACAAGATCAACGAGTTCAAGATCCTGTTACAACCCAAGAATCTTGGGTGCAAGTTGCAATAAGGGCTCCAAGGCGCTTGGAGCAAACTTTCTGGCAAAGAGATAACAAACATGAGACTTCTGATCATTGTATAGGCAGGCTTTAGCTCCCGGAAGCTTCTGGAGAAAAGTTTCCGTTATATCAGCCTTGCCAAAAGTAGCTGGATGAGCACCTCCGCGTGACCAGTCTGTCCATGTCAATGTCCGGTTAGCCAGAAAAATCCGATGTTTAATAGACAACATTGTAGGGAAGTAATGCTCATCAACATAACATGGAGGTTTACAAAACTCTTTGAATTTAGGATAGTAAGTTGTGTCCTGAACAATCTCAACAGCGAGTTTCCGGTTAATCTCAAACCACTGAGACCCTTTTCGCCACTGGCTAAGTGTGATCTCAGGCTCCATTCCATTTCTGTATCTTCCTCTTCCATCAGGTCCTTCCTCATCAGCACAACCCATGAAACTATATCTTGATCCAGAGACATAACTATAGACAAAGCTGAATCCCCGCAGAGGAATGCATGATTCAGACAACAGAACAAACCATTCGTTAGAGATATCTAGCAACGCGTTAGCCAAAAGCCTCCTTTCAGCATCACACATACTCATCTCTCCCCATGACACAGCCTATAACATAGAGAAACTCACATGAAAGACTAGAAAAGTAGTAATAAGCGTTTTGTCTGAAACATCAATGACATTACCTGACTTGGGATGTATCTTCTGTAAAACACAGATGACCTCGGAAAATCCGGTTTGTAATTAGGCAATGCATGAACATAGATTGAGTAAAGACCCTCATGTCCCTTAAAGAACATCTCCCAAAGTGGAGCAAATGGTAAAGGCCCTTTGGTGAGAAACATGAAGGCCAGTTTAGGAAACCGTTTAAACGGATATACATTTCTCCGTGGCTCCATCGAAGCGCGCCAAAGCAATTCAGTGTCATTCAATGTGTGCCAAACATTCAAAGGAGGTCTAATAAAGCTCTCTAAAGTAACAGTCCCATGATCATACATAGAGATCAAAGTGGTTGGAGCCACAGGAGCCAAATATTGAATCTTCAAGAACTTGATCATGTGTATACCAACAACCGAGATCCCAAGAGCCAAAACAAGGAAAAATAACAGAATCTGAAGCAGACGCATCGACAAAAGAGCCCTAGATTGGTTTGTTAGCCTCGATTTAGGGGTTGATGCAGCATTATCTTTAACCCCTTCCTCCATTTCCATCACCATCACTTTCATCTAAAAGCTCCAAACTTTCTGAGCTATATCACCAAATGCATACACACAAAGAAAACTTTCCGAAATCACTGTTTCAGTGACGCTACCAAAACAGTTTTATTTTATTTCTCTAAACAATCCTCCTAGTAACAAAATATAATTAGTGTGAAGAGAAAACAAGGGTTAACACAAAAAGTTTCTTCTATTTTTCTTTAATAGAAACCCAGAAAAAAAGATTAGGATATTGGAAGAACAAAAATACTCAAAAGAAAGAGAGACGAAATTACCACGTTTTCCTTTTACGGATTTGGTTTTACAAAACTGAAACTTTGAATCTAGAAACTTACCGGAAGAAGAAGGAATAAAAGAACTAAAAAAAATTGGATCTTTCTCAGTCACACATTACAGTAAACTCTCGAATTTGAGCGTCTAATTTTGATTATGCTTCGAAAATGTTTTTCTAATGAATCCATTGTGAGAAATTTTCTGAAAACTCTCATCTGAAGCATAAACCTAGGAGTTACAAAAACATTGGCATCCTATGTTAATTTTGACGGTTTCAGCTTTTAGTTTCGAATTGAAAACAGTAATTAAGAAATGTATATAACCGAGATAGATGGTAAACCTATTTATCCCTACATTTAATACTTGACAATTTAAGATTTTTCTAAAACTCTCATTACACCTTGCCGAATCACTGTTTCTTTTTGCATTAAAGTTCTTACATTTCTTCGATTCTGCAAAGCCATCAGATTCTTTAATAGAAGCCTGACATTGCATAACAATTTATTAATCTTTACATGGAAGCCTCTGTAAAAAAAAATGACATTTTTCGACGAGTAGGGGAGATGAAGAATAGAGAGCGAATGTTGGCATCAAAGTTCATCTTTTTCGTAACTCTTATTCGGCGATGAAGTTTTCAAGTCAAGAAGATATCTTGTGGCCATGGAAGCATGAAGGGAAGCTCCATAAGGTAGTAACTCTTCATTAACTTCAAAATAAGGTGAGTGAGGGCTCGCCATTGGTGAATGAGCTTCGTTTTGCATTCCAACAAAACTGAAATGTCCAGGCATTGATTCTTGGTAGAAAGAGAAATCCTCTGATCCCATCAATGGTTGCATCTCGACGTAATTCTCAATCCCTAACATATCGCCTGAAACGTTCTTGAAAAATTGGTGCAAGCCTTTGTCGTTTACAGTTGGTGGGAAAAAAGGTTTCACCTCTTGAAGAAAATCCACTGTAGCATTACACATATGCACGCTCGCTTGCCTTGTGATAACCTGAAACATTAAGAGAGTTTTTTAAGAACTTGGATTTGAGAGGAAGACAAAAATCTCAAACTACACAACAGCGTGAAAACTTACTGACCTGCTCGATTCTTTTCTGGAGTTGCTTAAAGCTTTTAGTTGAAAAGGCTCGGAATGTACCACCGATGGTAACAGAGTCTGGAATCACATTAAAAGCACCACCGCCTTCAAATTTAGCAACTGTAACTACCTGTAAGCACTCACATACATCAACACATTCCATGTAGAGACACTTGAAGAGCCAAAGAGTTATATTTTTATACCTGAGAATCTAAAGGATCTGCCTCTCGTGAAACGAGGTGTTGTAAGCTAACAATAACATTTGAAGCTGCCAATATCGGATCTATGGCGTGCTGAGGAAGAGCTGCGTGACCTCCTTTCCCGCTTATCTTAGCTTCGAAAAAACCACTACCAGCCAACAATGGACCTTCTCTCGAGCTCACTTGACCTAATGCCAACTGATTTGTAACATGTAATCCAAAGATTGCGCTCACATTCTCCAATACTCCAGCCTCCACGATTTTCTTTGCACCTCCTCCTCCTTCCTCAGCTGGTTGAAATACTAGAATCACTGTACCCTAAGATGGTCCAAGAAATGTACAAGAATCCAGAGAGATCAGGATGCTACCAAAGATTCAAAATTTTTAAAAAAGTTTGATTTTGGAAAATCCAGTACGCCACTAAACCTGTAGCTCATCTTGGTGTTCTTTGAGCAATCTCGCAGCACCGAGGAGCATCGTAGTGTGAGCGTCATGTCCACAAGCGTGCATCTTCCCCGGAATCTTACTCTTGTGTTCCCATTCCACCATTTCCTAACACAATCCAACATAACTTTCCCAATAAGAATCCACCCAAAATAGAGCAACATTTCTCATAATTCCACCAACAATTAAAGAAATCAGATCCATCAGTCAAAATGGGAAATAAAAAAGTCCTAGAAACAAACTCAACAGATCTTCCACTAAAAAATTACAGTAATCTGCAGAAAAGATAGAACAAATGTTCCTCTTTTCGAGTACCTAATACTAGTGAAAAAGCCACACTGTTCCATAAAGAAGATGAGGGAACAAGTCAAATCCATTTTTTTTTCTTTCTCTCATCCAATTTTAAAAATTGAAATCAAATACCTGCATAGAAAGTGCATCCATATCTGCCCTCAATGCAACAAAAGGGGCTTGACCAGTTCCAATATAACCAATAACACCAGTTACAGCAACTGGATACTTGTAAGACACACCCATCTTCTCCAGTTCTGTCCTAACGAGCTTAGATGTCTCTACTTCCTCGTAACCTAATTCTGGGTTCTCGTGGATTTTTCTTCTGATTCCAACCATCCAATCGAAAAAATCAGCTCTTTTAGCCAAAGCAAGAAACTTTGGAGGGATTTGAGAAAACCCATTAGAGGTTAAGGAAGAGGAGGATGAAATCATACACGAATTGAGCAAGTGAAGTATCAAAACAAAAGAAACCCATTTTAGGAAACTCATGGCGATTAATCGATCGATCGAATCAATTATTTGATGTTAGAGAAAGATGAGATCGAAGAGAGTTCTCTGCGTGATGATGAAGCAGGGAAACAGGAAGCAGAAAGCGGTATTTATATCCAACACAGCGTAAAAATAAAATAAATTTTAACTGCGTCTCTAATTCTCTCTATTTCCATAAATTCTTCATTTTTTTTGTAATTTTCTTCGATCCCAAAATCAAGAAAAACATTCTTTTTCCTTAATTGATTATGATCAATTTGATAACTGTCTGAAAAAGAGTGATGGAATCTTCTTTGGATTAAAACCTAAATGTAAATAAGCCAAACAAGGCGGCTCTGCTTTTCAACATGTGTCTCTGTTGGAGTTTCTGCATTTGGAATTTGTAATTATAACGTCATAGAAATTATTTGGATCCAACAAGTATCCAAACTCAACTCATATAAACCCTAAAACTAATTTTATAAACACTATTACATAAATGAACAATAGTGCATTTCACTTTCATGTACTGATTTTCAAAATCTTTCTTTTCTTGTTTGGAGAATCATTTCATTTTTTCTATTTTTTTCATTTTCATTTTCAGCTTCAGTTTAGGTAATTGTGACACGTGAAATGGAAAAAAATGAATGGTTCTAATTGGATTTGTTGGCCGGTCCATTTGTTGTTGATACAAACAGCAAGAAAACACACATTGAGAACGTGTTTATTGAAGTCTTTTTATTGGGACTTCCTTATTTTTATCAGATATTTTAAAGGGTTAGTATACTGCAGAATATTCAGTTTCATATATTGATGACACCATGTTGAAGGTGATATCCACTAGATTAACTTTTTTACAAAAAACAAAAATCAAGTGTACAAATCGAAATAAATAGAACCAACAAGAGAGACATACACAGATTGTGTTTGCTTTTCCATTGTTTGATCTCTAAAGAACAAAAGTTTAAATGTTTAAGAACAGCAGCATTGATCTTTAAGAACAAAAAGCTTTCGTCTTTTTATTCTCTCTTACCAAAATGTTTGTAGGAACTGAGACTCAATGATAAACACAGAGCAGGAAAAGAAAAGACTTTCTTCTTCATCCACAAAAACTTGAGAGTAAAAAAACAAACAATTCAAGTTAACCTGAAACAAGCAATTCTCTCTAAAGCAGCAATCTCAGCTCTCCAACCTAATCTTCAGTTTTACACCTCAACCACTAACTAATGCTATATTTACATATGCTCACTTGCAACATCTCTTTTCTCTCTCTAGTCTCTACCCATTTTTGCCTCTCTCTCTGCATGACTTGAAAGTCTCTGTACCCAAAACAGCAAAAACCCATCAGTGATGGCTTCTCCTAAAGCGGCATATTGTTATCTCCGTTTATGCTTCAAAACTCAGGCAGTACGATGAAGGGAAAACAAAAACGTAAAGCCAGCCAAAAGTTTCCCTATCTCTCTCAGGTTGTCGCTGCAGAAGGCAATGCTCGGTGTTGCGTTTGTCTTGCTGAGCCTTTCAACACTTGGTTTATCCTACTGAAGACTACTTTCAACGGTATACAAGCTACAACCGTTTCCTTTGCCTTTTCTGTTGTCTGCTTCTTGCTTCTTTCCGTCAGCCTCTGGCTCGTTAGAGTAGAGAGCCGCCTTGTCTTTTTTAATAGGGAAGACGATTTCTTGTTTGACTTCGATGCCTTTCGTAAAGCACCATGTGATTTCCTCTTCTTGCTCTTCTTTTTGGACAATAACTTCGCATTCACAATAACTTGAGACATCCCCATACCGTTGCAGTAGCCTTCTTCCAAGACTTCAACAGTTAAAGGATGCCCAACAATAGCTTTACCATTCAATTCACTCATACGAGAAACCAGCGGAACATTGCGTGGTTTGTTATAGTTGGCTTTTACCTCAATCCTCACCTCGTGCAGCGTAGAAAGAGGCAGAGGACTGTTGTTATTAGCTTCTTCACCGTACACATTTCTGCTCGCTTCTTGTTTCTTACTCATCTGCCTCGAGTTCCTCTTTCCTTTTAGCTGCCACTTAGAAGTGTTCTTCTCAATCCCGTTCAAATTACAGTGTACAGCTGGTGGATTTGTACAAGCAGATCCATTATTTACCTCTTCCTTAACAAACACATCATGACTACTACGACCACGCCGCCTTGTCAAACCAGAAACAAAATCTCTCCTCGATGTGGAAATTGTGCAAGCTGTCACTGGTCACAAACCAAAAGAGAGGCAAATGATTTAAGAGATCAAACCTTTGGATCCTAAGATGGTGGAGAAAACACAATAATAGCAGATAATGAATGCAGAAGCAAGTTAGTCAAAAACACTAAACAGAAACCAATTTAGCTGTAACCCAAGTTAAACATTAGGAAACACCAAAGCTATTTAGGTTTCGCCAGGCGATTTCTTAGAGAATGGTCATATAATTTCTTTAATCTATCATGTGACAATATTAACTTGGTGACAATAGCAAGCTTTTGTTTCTTTTACTTCCCAGAAGGGGAGATATGCAGATTATTGCAGTTAAAGTAACCAAAACAATAGAAAAACATAAACAAACACTTGAGAGAGGTTTACTACTTATACCTGCCGAGTGTTTTTCTTCACCAGTTAGTGGAACATCATATAATTGGTCAAACGAATCATCCTCTGCCGAAACTGATACACTGGAAATTTCACTGTCTTTTGCCTTGTTGTTATGGGAGGCTCCGACAACATTTTCAGAAGCATTCTCGCATGAAATCCCAGTGCTGTCTGAGTTATTGTTGATTACAACAGATATACTTTTCATGGATTCGACAGACTCTATTTTGCTGTCATAAATCCCTTGACAATCAGATGTGACAAGCTGGTCACAGGTCACAGGGACACAGACCATAGCTGTACTCTCTAACACCTTTGTCAATTGCCGGCGTCGGTTTTTCCTTTTAGAGCACTCATTAGCAATTATGACTTGTGACCTTTTTCTCTTTAGTGACAACGGGGAGCATACCTTGTTCCCATTGGCAACAATATTGCCATTCAACATTGAATCACTGAGGTTTGGATGACAGATCAAACCCATTTCTTGCCTATGCTCGACAATAGCACCCACATGTTCTTTCCCAATATCCTCAAGCCCTCTCATTCTCTTGATTCCTTCAGTACCATCATCTTCCAAGTCATTCGGCGTTCTTCTTCTCTTTGGCTGCACCTTCAAAGCTCCGACGTTAATAACTTCTTGGGAAGACATACTGGATTGCAATTGCTCCGGCCCTGAATCCAATTCATCTTCAGCCTCTACTTCATCAGCTGAGTCTGAATCCTCGTCACCTTTGCCAGAAACACACCTTTTAGAATCATCCTCACCGGATGAGCTACACAGATTATCGTCTGGAAGATCTTCTTTTGCAAGATGTGCCTTCTCAATCTCGAGAGCATTGTTAATGGCATCTTCTCGGCGAGTACACTTGACACTCTTTTTATTACTAGAGCTCCCTGCAGCAGCAGCAGCCTTTGCTTTCTCAATGAAATCATCGTACTCTCCACAACGAAACGCCTTCACCATCTTGGACTTTTCAAGAGTATACCATTCCCTGAAGTCATAAAGGAAAACACTTTTCTATCAACCTTCCGGTTTCTATTAATCTGCCGTAATGGCAAAAGCAAGACGCACTAGACTGAGATTGAGAAGAATAATAGACTCACACGCTAACATCGTCACGGCCAAGAAGCTTTATTGGAGTGCCGATTTTCGGAGAAACCAAAGAGTTTTCAGGGACTTCGTCATGGACCAGAGTCTGTCCGGGCCACCAAGACCCGTTACGGCGGCGAACCCAGACCAATCTTCCTACCGATGCATAAATCGCCTTCAAGTTTTGGTCATCACTCTCCATTGCACAAAACGCCCAAAAAGGAGACCACCAAGAAAAAGAGAAAGTGGCAAGAAACTTTCCAACTAACCTAAAAAATCAAAACTTTATAATCTCAGTGAAGTTCACTGTCTTAAATTAGACAAAAGCTTGCCCCTCCCTTGAATCCTGCAACCAACAAAAAGCAGTGGAAAACCTTAAAGACCCCAACATGCAACCACAAGCGCTCAACTTATAAACATGTTGAAGATAGAAATGCGAAGCTGGCTGAAAAGCGTTTCTTTAGAAAGAGAGTGAAAGAGAGGGAGAGAGAGAGAGAGCAAGAGATCTGGGAAGAGAAGCCGTACCGAAGAACCAGAGATCCAGATACTTGTTTCGCTACTCTACAGGGGTTCTTCTCTATGAAAAGGAGGTTTCTATCTGGCTACCAATCAATAACATTTCGACCGCATTCGTCGTTGGGATTTTGCTCCGGCGGTTTGGAGAAGAATGCAGGGAATGGAAGAAAAGGCTCAGAGAGAGAGAAAGCAGAAAGGGCAAGTTTTTGGACAGAGAGAGAGACAGAGAGAGAGAGAGAGAGAGAGAAGGGGAGGTCAAAAAAGCACATCCAAGGTGAGATACTCTTAACTACAGAAGTGAACGGCGCCGTTTTAGAAAACTTTTGTCCTCTCCTTTAGGTTATCTCTCGTTACGTCACTCCTCTGGCCACGAGGCAAACTGTGAGTTCTATATTCAGACATCTCAGAGGTGTCAAATTTGGTAATAATGGCGGTGAGTCCGATCCAAATCCCTCTCAAAGTTTTACAATTTCTTCGTTTAACATCAAACCCTTTTCCAAATTTTCATAATTTATTTGTTTTAACAATCAAAATCTACAGAAACTGCGTGAGGTTCTTGGAAATTGAATGGTCATTAACTGTACCAATCCAAGAACAAGACGGAGAATGTCAGGACGATGAAAAACAGCAAAAGAAAGGTTCTGCTGCTGCTGTTACGTTGGATTGCTTGAGAAAGCTCTTTGTTTCCAAGCTCCACGTTCTTTGTTGCCTCAACCGCCTGCATTTTGGTGTCAAGCTGCGTGAGAAAAGGGACAAAAGGCGCACACACACACACACAGAAGAACCAAATTGTGGAAGTGATTAAACAAGTCTGAAGTCAGCGATAAGTTGTACTTCTACAGCGTAGGAAAATCCCAAAAACCGATCAACTAAAGTACTGAGAATGCCATTGACACATTCCAATGGGGTTTTTAGCAACTTCACATAGCTGAAAACAGTAATATTTCCATTTCCTATAACTAAAATGAAGAGTAATTCAAATTGGACCAATAAGAAGTTTCTTGATTCTTCCCATCTCTATACCTACTCTAGCTAAATACCACAAGGATAAAATATTGAATATATCTAAATTTGAGCTAGCAAAGAGAAGCATTCTGCTTAAAGAGCAGGGAAAGGGTAACAAAACAAGGCGTTGACATGAAAGCTTGAGAGGAGTTATTAAGTCGTAACCTGGTCATATAAAAACTCTATCTGCTGGGCTTGTTGCAAAACATGAGTTGCCATCAAGTGGTTCAATGCAGACATCTCCACCATCTTAGTCTCCGTCTGCCTGGCACCATCTAAAAGATTACTTAGCTCCACCTGCAAAAATTACAGAACTCAAGATTTAACATAAGTAAAAAACTCATGCAAGTTTTCGAAAACCAGATACCAGTTGTATTGTTACCTGAAGGGCTTGTGTTTCATCGTCTAGAAGTTGCTGTTGTACTCTACGAGGCTGGGCCGGAAATTCATTCGGTTCTATGGATTCTGGATTTGCCAGAGTTGCGTTAACTGGAGTAGCTTCCTTTGCGATCCTCTTAGGTTTTCTTCTCGGCATAGCTCGGTTAATAATATCTTGGAAACGAGTAGCTCTAAGCTGGTCAAACTGTGCAGTGACTGAATGAAGTTTCTCGCTCAGAATCAAAACCTGCAAACATAAACTACCAATTATGTCAACACATCTAGATACTTTGAATCCAAAGTAAAAAAACAACAACAAATTAGGGTTACTCTATAGTTGAATATCATACCACTCCATGTTTATGTGCTATAGTATCAGCATTAAAGTTATCCGCTGCGAGGCCAAGCCATCCTTTGGAGTTTGCTTCTTCATTTCTAATGCTGTTTTTAAGAATATCAATCTGCTCTTTGCAAGCTTTGATAAAAGCAGTAATCTGCAAGAATACATAACACATAAGTAGACATAGTTCTCGATCAAACAACACAGGAGGTATAAAAAATGTAAGATCTGAGTTCCTCAGTGACACAATATAGTAATTCCGTGGCTATATAAGATTGATTAACATTCATCTTCCTGAGTTTTCTCAATGTGATACACAACTTTTCTTAAGAATCCATAGTTCCTAAATGTCAGGCGTAGATTCATGGAATCATATACTACAGGCTCAGATTACTTACTTCTTGTTCAATGCTATCCTTTTCCTGTTCTGTAGTCCGATGCATATCAACATAATCCTTTCGATGCTTCAACATAAACTGATCCAACTCCTTGATGCTTTCCAGCTAAATCAACCATTCACAGACAGTAGGTACCAACACCACAAAAGAATCATTCGATAATGTAACTTCCAAATCCGGTCAAATAGAACAACTAACATTACCGTTTTGAAAGCAGCTTTCGTGAAAGGCGATCTCTCCTTTGGCTTATGTATAATGAAAGACGCCATTGTCGATGCCACTTTAGACTGCCACACAATGCAAACAAAATCAGGTGATTCTCAATGAATGCGATCTAGAAAACAACAACCCTGAAAACCCTTGAGAAATGTTCAAAATTGAAATGCCCACAAAAAAAAAAAAAAAAAATATCAGCAATTTCTCATCAAATTCGGGACAAATAGCTTCAATCGAACGAGGTTCAAGATGAAGAAATGGATTTCCACCTCGTTATAGCCATTAGAAACAGCGGCTTTCCGAACAGAGTCCTTGAAATCCTCCGTCCTGTCTCTGAATCTCGACATCTTGTACAGGAATTCAGATCGATCAGTGCTTCCTCCGTATCTGATTTCTATCAACAACACTTTCTTTGGATTGTCAAAGTTCGGGTTTTTGCTCCGGCGACTGGGAGAAGAAACGCAAGCGGAATCGAAGAAGAGGGTCTCAGGAGAGGAGAAGCCAGGAGACAGAGAAAGGTCTTTCCTTTTTTTCTTTTCAGTTTTCTGAAAAAACAAAAACGTTGAAGCCGCAGGAAGAAACGATACCGTTTTGCGGATCTTAAAGTTCTCTCCTTTAAGCTTTACGTCGCTCTTGGCCACGAAGCGACTCACCGGGACTGGCCCCATTGGCCGTTTAAAGGGTTAGTTAAACGACAGCCAAGGGCAGTGTCCAAGTCTTGAAGAATAAAAGACCATCTTTTGTCCTAAACCTTCATTGCATACATATGTATTTAAAGGTTTCTTGTTCCTAGTTTCACTAATTATTCATTCAATTTTCTTTCATCTTAAACCCAGGCCAGAAACACAATCAAGCCTCTCTTTTTCTCAAAGATCATATTCATATGTTCGGAAGAATCTGATCTTTGTTGGACACACACACAAGAGAAGAGATGAAACTACTAGAATTCTATTATACAAATGAGAAAGAAAACATGTAATGATTTCAAGTCTCAAAGCCCCTCAACAAATACGAGTTCGCATGTGGGTGAAGCTCGGGAAGAAAGTGTCAACTCCTTGATCATCTTAAGGTTTGGAACATCATGCTCCAATGTATTAGCGTAGATTGTTGCCCTCTTTAAGAGACGACCGTTTTTCAAGATATAAACCGCGATATCTCTATCTTGAGGTCTCCCAAAGTATTGTGACCAGTTGAAAATTTCCAGACTCGAGAACATGCATTCAGGAACAGAACTCGGTTGATTCCAGCAAACCATATCATTAGTCTTTAAATCCCCATGTAGCTAAACACCAAGCAGAAGAAATATATTAAAAACGATACTGGTCATTAGATAAACCAAAAAAAATCTAGTTTATCGAAGACACTTACATCTAGTATAGAGATGTCTAACACTCGTAAGTTAGGAGAATCTTTGAGTAACTGGGCAAGGAGATTCGATGAATCATCTTTGCACACACATAGCTCCAGATGTTCAAGCTGGTCGAAAACAAAACCATCACCATACACATCCTGCCAACGATATTTTAAACATTATTAGTAAAGATATCTATAACAAAAGATTGAAGACTTGCAACTGATAACTGAAAACCAATTACCTCTGAACATACTGTAAGATGCTTAACAGATGTGATTGATCCAATAACATTTTTGAGAGCAAAGGATACAACATCGACATGTGCTTCCTTCAGCTTAGGCATATTCTTGAACAAACAAGGACTCTCATTCCAATCCTCAAGTTTAAGATATTCCAAAGAAGGAGTATGTATCTCATACCCATCTAAAGACCAACAATGGGATATATGGAGTGATAACTTCTGCAAAGAAGGGACGTTAACAGTGAACTCTTTCATATTTTCATCCTCACAAAACCACACATCTAGATCTTCAAGAACAGGACATATAGATAGAAGCACTTGAAAGGATTCTTCATCTGCGTATGTCACACTTTCGAGTAGCAAAGTTTTCAAAGAGGAAAGACAAGCCATAGAGGAAACACCCTTGAGAGTCACGTATCTGAGTTTCAAGATCACGAGCGATTCGCAGGTAAACAAGCTGCTAGGTAACATGTTTTCATTACCATCTGAAGAATATGAGATTTCCAGCTCACGAACATGGCGAGAAACTGCAATTTCAACCCACAGTCTGATATCTTCAGGTTTAATACGTCGATCCCTTGACTCATATAACTCAAGACACAAGCTTTCTAGGACCGGAGCTCTATGTAGTGGCAGATTCTTGTCGATGAAATCACCAAGTACAAGCAGTGATCTATCTCTATCACGGTACTCAAGTTTAGGCAACCACATCCAAAGAAATTTCCATCGCTTAGACAAAATGCTAGTGGATACAGCAACCTTTGTTGGAACAAACGATAATATCCTCACCAACAATTCATCAGGTAATTCACTGATTTTGCCCATATCTTACAAATTCAAGATACTGCTACTTAAATTTTGTCTTCCCTCCAAGAAAAAAAAAACACAAGAAAACAAGACCATAAGACTCAAAAGGATTTTTCATAAAATTCGGGACAAATAGCTTCGGTCGAACGAGATTAAGATGAAAAAAGGACACGAACCTCGTTAACGAACATAATCCTTGAAATCCTCCGTCCTGTCTCTGAATCTCGACATCTTCTTGTACAGGAAATCAGATCTATCAGTGCTTCTTCCGTATCCGATTTCTATCAATCAGTTAATAGAATTAGAAGCATACTCTCTTTGGACTGTAAAAGAAGGGTTTTGCTCCGGCGACTCGGATAAGAAACGCAAGCGGAAGCGAAGTAGAGTGAGGATCGGAGAGGAGAGAGAAAGGCCTTTCCTTTTTATTTCAGTTTTGTTAAAAATAAAAAAAAAAACAGCACATTCAAGTGTAAGAAACTCTCGCTTACTCTGAAGAATAGAAGAAATAAACGACACCGTTTCGCGGATCTTAAAGTTTTCTGCTTTAGCCTTTAGGTCAATCTCTCTCGTTAACGTCGCTCTTGTCCACGAAGCGACTCACTGTGGAGTTCGATATTCAGACAATCTCTAAGCTTCCCACGACAAAAGGTGTCAAATTTGGTCATTATGACGGGTAAGCTCGATCAAACCCCTTCCAAAAGTTTCATAATTTCTTCGTTTCATATCGAATCTTTATCTGTGAATCCATGGGAGAGCAATTGAATTCTGATTGATCTTGATTTCTGTCTGATAAAATGAATTGAGAATTATGTGGGCGTCTTTTTGTAGAGTATAAGCAAGAACAAGAGATGGAGATTGAAGCTCTTGAATCTATACTTGCGGATGAATTTAAAGGTATTTATTTGTTTTCTCTTAAGATTTTAGTTTCCTTGTTTGTTCAATCGTCGTCGAGCTGCTGAGAGCATTGAGTTCTTTTACTACTGTTTTGTGGCAGAAATTCACTCTAGTGAAAGTGGGCTTAACACTTCAAATCGATGCTTTCAGATAACAGTGACTCCTCAGGTATATTAGAACATAATCCATCTCAATTTCCTCAGTTCCTTCATTACTTAGTTCCTCAATTTACTGTTTCAGCTTATTTCGGCTGTTTTACTAGCTTTATGTGATTTGTGAAAAGCTTATGTCTAGTGGATGTATCGATCAATGTCAACTGAAATATCTTCTGTTTCAGCTTTTTACTATTCTTCTGATCCTATGCTTCTTCTTTTGTCTCAATAGGATGATGATCTAGAGGAGTCATCAATCCCACCAGGTTAATACTCTTGAAAAAGATCCCTTGTTATATCATATGCCTCTCCTGTGTTTTCTCAGTCTTTGAGCTCTCAATTTGTCTTGCAGTTCAGCTGGGATTGGTTTTCTCGCACACCGAAAATTACCCGGACGAAGTTCCACTTTTGGATGTTAAAAGGTAATTCTAGGTTTTACCATTTTGTATCAAGTTAATACAGATATACGACGATGACACTCATGTGGGTTAGAGTGTTCTTCCAGTATTCGAGGAATCCATGTTAGTGACCTCACCATCTTAAAAGAGAAGCTTGAACAAGAGGTAAAATCTCTCTTACAACGTTATAGTGTATTACAATTTTCTTTGCCTGAAGAGGAACACTGGAAGGTCTCTTGTCAATGACTGCCTGAATCACAAATCCTAAGAAAAAAAAATTATTCAATTCAGTTTTTGAGGAGTGGGTTATCATTAGAACTAAGAACTTCATGATACCGTTTTCACAGGCAACTGAAAATCTTGGTATGGCCATGATCTATACATTGGTCTCATCAGCGAAAGACTGGTTGTCTGAACACTATGGGAAAGATGATGGAGCTGACTTTGCCGAGGAAGAAGCTGCCAAAGAGGATGAGGTATTGTTGTCTGCTCAGTATTCCAGATGTATAACCTGCAAAGCACTTCGAGTCTTGCTTCCATGATATAGGCTTCTGCTTGTTCACAAGATTTTCTTCTTTTTTGTCTCTTCTTGTCTAAATTTCTTGGTGCAGGTAATTGTTCCTCATGGAGAACCTGTTACGCTGGAGACATTTTTGGCATGGAGAGAGAGATATGAGGCAGAGCTTGCACTTGAGCGAGCCAAGTGAGTAACCTTTCCTGCAAATTCTTGTTCATTGTTATTGGCCTCCGAAGTTATTAATATTTTATCCGTGGCCGTGAATAAACTTCCAAGGCTGATGCCGGATTCTGCTCTTACGGCACCCAAGGAGAAGAAGCTTACAGGAAGACAGTGGTTCGAGAGTGGCAGAGCGGTATTTCTCTTTCTGGCTAACTACTTGGCGCAGATTCATCAGAATCTTGTTGCAGTATATTTTTCTATACAAATAACTCTCTGTCTTGTGCCATTTTCAGAGAGGAGCAGTGGTCACTGTTGATCAAGAATCTGAGGAGGAAGATGATGAAGACATTGACTTTGAAGACGAAGACTTTGAAGGTAAAATAGTCTTCCTGTTTGCTTTACACGCTGATATCCCACATAAACAAACAATGGTTTCTCAAGGATCACATTCGTCTATTTGATACAGATGACGAAGAAGACATGCTTGAGCACTATTTGGCGGAGAAATCTGATTCTTCCGCTCCCACATCAAGGGCCTGAATCGAGGGATCCCTATATAATGATTATTATGGATCTTTTCTGGATAGAGATCATGATGCGAGAGACTGGCCTTACATTGAACAGCATCCAATCTACAACATATCCTCAGTTTTCCCAGCTTTGATCTGCTCAAGAGTTACCTCGAGAGTTACCATGTCTTTATCTGATATCCACCTTCATTGTGTCATTTACAAGAACAACTTATGAGAGATGCCAATGATTTTGTAATTTTTTGGTTTAGGATCAGCGAAAACCGGATCTCTCCGAAAAATCTTAAAAGACAAGTTGAACCTCATTTAGAAACCCTTGTTGCAGCTTTGAGTCATCAGTATGTTCCAGTCTTAACTTATGAAGTCAGAGAACATATAAAGCAATGGAAAGCTGTGTTTATAGCTAATAAATATTGATGCTATCAAAGTTTGTAGTTTCTAAATAGTGACATACGTTGCAGCTAATATGTTACAGAGTCAAATATGCATTCTTCATTTAATAGCTAAACACAACCTTGGTCCGTCATAGCTTGAGCAATGTTCAAAAATGCTGCAATTGTTGCTCCGTGTAGAAGTGCCCTGGAAAAGATGAAAAGAACATTTCTTAGTAAAAGCTTTTTAATCTTTCGGATTCACAGTAGTACAGAGCATCATTGACCAACATAGTAGAGTGACTTACTCAGGACTTTCTTTCTGATAACCGAAATCATTTGCTGCTTTAAGAGCTTTCTCATAAGTCTGCTTCAGTGCTTCCTGTCGATACCAGAGCAATTATCTTTAATAGGCAATTACCCCAGGCCAAAACTGCAAAAATTGGAATTGAAATGTGAGAGATGTTACCTGTAATCTAGACTCGAAATCTTCTGCTGACCATTGCATTGAATTAGATTCACGGAGTACTTCGATTTCTCCAGCAGCAACCTTCAAGATAATTATGCAATTTAGCTATCATCATTTAGATTATCTAAGAACTTTATGTTCTTTAGGTTCATACTCAGCATATACAAAACAAACGAAAATAGAAGGTTGGGACAGAATTTCTCTCTAACACCTAGTGTCATGTCATAATTTAATGATAGAAGAGACTAATAAAGCATAGGCTAAATTGTAATGTTGATGTAAAGATGATTTGAAGAAGAACTCACTCCTCCAGCTCCAGCAGCAATGGCAGGAGCAATCAGAACATTTGCCTTTCTGAAAACATCAACTGCTTCAGCTGTACACGGCATGTTTGAACCTGCAGAAAACACATCCATACTACTTAGAATAAGGTGCATAAAAGAATTTGAAAACACAAAACGAAGAAGCTCCGAAATTTATTTGCTCAAATATAAGAAATCTCTACCTTCTACCAGTAAGCGACAGCCTGCATTGACCAGATTAATCGCATCTGCTTGATCAACTTCATTCTGGGAAGCACAAGGAAACGCCACATCACACCTTTCATTCCAAGGCTTTACTTCATCAAAGTATTTAGCCCTTGCATAGGTCTTGGAATAGTCTCTGCACATCAGATGCGTGTCAAGTTGGGACCTATTTTCTTTTTTTAGCGAGTGCCAAATACCATGATAACTTGGAAACGGACATACCTCAGACTTCTCTGTTGGGATTTTATATCTCTCAAAAATGCAAGTTTCATATAATCAAATCCGTCGTCGTCCACCAAATATCCCTTTGAATCTGCAAAACTTTGAGACCTTAAAGGCCTGGCCATGTAAAAAATAACAAAACATATAACCCACTCTGAGCTCCGGCAAACCAGGCCTTCTATCTACTCTGAGCTCAACTAAGAGCTACTGAAAACAACAAAAATGCAGAAAAGCTACACACTTTGCGTGCTTTGACTCTGAAATGAAAAGGTGAGTGAATCACCTGAAACAGTAACCGGATGGGCCCCACAAGCAATTAGCTTCTCCACAACGTGCATCGCAATCTTCCCGCATCCACTCACAACACATCTGAAATAAAGTTCAGAAAGGGTATGATTTCATAGGATGAGTCTCAGAATTGTAAACAAGTCGCACAGCTTCTGTGCTATGTCAGAAGCCAAAGATTTAGAGGGTTTAGTTTTAGTACAACCTTTTAGAATTGACAGAAAAATTAAAAAGAACTACCAAGTTTCGAAAAGGGAAAGTAGAGTTAAAAAAAGTATCTTGCTGATTAGATAAATTGTAAGATCCAGAAAAAAAAACATTGGCAACTAGCAGAATCCCATGTAAGAGCACATATTCAAGATGATCAAGAGAGAAACCTTAGTCCCTTAATTTCTTTATTCATATCTGCAAGCATAAGTCGTGCAAAGTACACCTGAAAGAATGCAAATGAATTTTAGCGAGTCATCACATGTGAATAGTGTTCTTCATAATTAACAAAAGATTACCACGCCATAGCCACTAGCTTCAGTTCTGAGGCTAGAAGCAGCCCAATATATCCGTGGTCCTGTAAAACTTCCCTGCATAAGTAATTAACACAAAGATATAACAGCCAAAACTCTTTATTCTCTCAGCAGAAAAACTGATGCAAACAGATGATTACTGGAATAGTACAGCCGATGACATTTTGTACTGAAACATCAGAACAAAAAAAGTGAGAGAACAAATACTAATACTACTAGGGACATATTCTTCCCTCCAAATTTACAGACAAATAAAAATACCCAACTCGGTGAGGAATGACTTATTAGGAAAACCAACCAAGTCCAACGATTTGATTGCCATTTTGTTGCCAAAAAAAGGCAGGAGATAACCAGAAATCAGTATCAAGCAAAAGCATCAGCGTCAAGGATTTTCAGTACCTGAAACTGACCCGCAAGTCGTCTGTATTGTCCAAAAAGATATCCCATTTCCCGAGTACCAACACCAACCTCCTCTGACGGAAGGTCCTAGCATACAAAATAGATTACAAAATCATTACAGAAAGGACATAATCATTACAGAAAGGACATACTTGCTACAGGGTAGAAACCATTCCACTTACTTTGTCAGGACCCATATATCTGTACATCTCATTCATGAAACTTTGGCAAAATCTCATAATCTGTGAATGTTGCAGAACGATAAATATCAGAACATCTGTAGAAAGATCACTAGCGGAGACAATATGCAAGGGGGAAAGATGTCACCTCATTGTCACTTCTTCCTTTAGGATCAAAGTCACTTCCACCGGAAGCCCCTCCTAGTTTATATGGTGACAGAGCATTTTTCAATGTCTGTGAAGGATAAAAAAAACAAATTAAAATTCAGAACATGCAAAAGAAAAGTTAATGCGGCCACCAGAAAAATAAAGAAATAACAGAATAAGGAAAATCAAAGAAAAATCAAAGGAAAGATACTATAACATACTTGATGGAAACCATAGTACCTGCTGAAACCCAAGAAATTTGGCAATACTTAAGTTCATGGACGGATGAAATCGGATACCTCCCCTACATGGACCTAGTGCTTGGTTGAACTGAACTCTAAAGCCTCGGTTTACATGCGTTTCACCACGGTCATCAATCCACGGCACTCGGAAAACAATCATACGTTCAGGTTCTAATAGCCGCTCCATGATGTTGACATAACTGAAATAAATCAGAATGGAACCATGTGACTTAGATGCGGATTGCTGAGACTATTTCACAAAGATGATAAGCAGATCGTAACTTACTGAGAATTTTTTGCAATTACCCGCTCTAGAGCATGCACAGATTCTTGTACAGACTGAACAAACTCAATCTCATTAGGATCTCGTTTCAGGGCACCCTCAACAATTGAACCAGCACTCTTTGACATTAGAGCTTCATTGAGAGGAAAAAGTACAAAGAGTTAACAAAACAAAAAGCAGGGAAAGACACTAGCCATGCCATACAGACATACAGACACCAAATTGGGCAAGACCAAAAAAAAATCGAGGAGTCAATCTTTTTTCATATTAGAAAACGAAGAAGACAACCTATTTCCTGATCACAAAAATATAAAACTCCAAAACTTCTGAAAAAAACAGACATACCAAGAATTTACAACTTCCTCTCTTTCAAGAAACTAACTGCGTCTTAGCATCTATTAGTGATATATTCCTGTTAAGAGTTGCTTCGTTTCATAACTCAAACATTGGCCAAACAAATCTTTTTACGGAAAGTAGAGAGGAGACAGTTCAAAACTATCCAAACTAAATGCAACGCATGCGTAAGCACACTGTTAGCTGAAAGGTTGTTCAGTGCCGGTTGGTTAGATGGAACACAAGGAGATGCAAATGATTTTAACTCACTCAATCAGGCAAAGCAATATTGTAATAACTTACTCTTTACATAAATGGGCTTGTCAACAACAATCTTATCTTTGGAAGCCGTTTGGAGACGCAGAGCCTCCTTGTGTAGCAAACTATTGTTGTGTTCTTCTAATGCACTCATCTGCATGTTTCTACTTCCTTCATTACCGTACGGGTTTCTTCGATGTTTTCTACCATATTCTCTGCAAATAGAACAGAATATCCTAGCCGTTCCATCCTTCATATCGACATAAGCCCACTTGTAGGTATCAGCCCATTCCTCTCTCCACCGTTTCACAACCTTTTTCTTTCTCTTTGCCGGTTGGCCCTTTGACATATCTTGATCCTCACTAGGCAGATCAGATACCAAAACCATATGCTTTGTCTCGTCATGCTCCCCAGTGGAGGGCTCCTGTGGAGTGCCGCCGATCAATGAATTGTTAGCAAAAGCAGCGTCATCCTCTCCAGGTCCAATTTCCAAATCAATCTCTTCCCCAAGATTGCTTACGACAAGCTGATGCCTTTGTGCCTGCTGGATTAAGTTCATATCATCCATTGAGGGATTCATCCCCAACCCACCTGTTGGCCCAAACATTCAGCATCACAGTTTTAACTACACCTTGGCTTCTCTTTTGCTGTCTAGCAGCAACTGTATCTTACACTTGGTACAAGACCCGTGGTGACGACCTAATGCGCAACAGAAACAGTCCACAATTAGGACAAGGCCAAAAAATAATTCAGATAAAAAGCATATTCTCATACAAGAAACACCTAGCCACATTTCTGGTACTCAGCACTAACCAAAGGCAAATTAGACTTCAGCTACCAAGAAATGCACAAAATAGAAGCATCAATACGATCAGAAGAAACAAATAAATCAAGACTTAATCTCAGATCAAAAATCTTCTATAAAATGAATAACAAAACTGGAAATTTCCCTAAGACAAAATAAAATGATGTGAAATCAGAGAGTGTGTTAAATCCTTTTGATCATCTACCAAAAACGCAAGGCATTCTCAAAGCTTGTGAACATGTTTCGAGGAGAAATCTGACTGCAAATCCAGATAACAAACTAATATTCTCTCACTGAAGAAAAATCTAAACATTCAAGACTCGTAATTTAAACTCCAGTGAGGATAAATTTCAGAACCAACTCGAAAATTTTGTGTATTTG